TTGAAAAAATGACCGTAGTAGTATTTATCGCGCATTGCGCAAATCTGCGTTAGGGCATAAAGAGCATCGCTCTTATATAGAAATGTTAGTAGAAGTTGATAGAAAATTTCGTGTTAGTTTAAGGTTAAAAATTAATATAAAATATCATACAAAATGTACCTTTAAGCAGAAAACACAAAAGATACCTTTATAGCTTTTGTGGCCAAACTTGCCATAAAAAGGCATGAAAAAGGCACGACTGTTTAAAGAAATTCCCCTTTCGATCCACGGACCTGACATTGAGATAATTGTGAATATTCTATTTATCAGATAAGTGGATTCAATAAGAATTCCCAACAACAAAAAAGAGCACATGTTATTGGTTTGTGATTAAATCTATTTGTTATCCAAATAAAAAAGTTAGAGAAAAAGATCTATCAATTTTGTTAAACTACCTGTCAAATAACAACTGGTTCACGTGGACAATTTCTTTAACTCTTACCGATTTGCCAAATCTTTCAAAGACTTTCAAAGGAATACTAATTGTGTATATGTTTTAACATGGTTTAATAAAATTTTTAATCTTCAATACCCTGCTGTTTAAATTTAAATTACTTGATGAAAAAATCATCAAATGATGCGTTGAACACAGGACTTTTTGGTCGTTGAATTATAAGTCCTACTAATTTTGTATATCTGTTTCGAATATCAATTCACATTTTTAAGTACTTACCGCTTTAATTCACCCTTATTTTTTCTTGTTGGCATAACTTGAAATCATTGTGTGTGTAGTTTTATGCTTAATAATTGTCCATCCACTCGTAAGGCCACAAATGGCAGCTTTCGATGTCGAGTACAGACCCGGACATATCACCAGTCATGCCCTAAAAGAGTTAATTTTGAAGCCCAAATTGGTTGAAAATTTACATCATGAAATTTCTACGGAGTATTAGCCAAGGATATAAATTTTGAGCCAAAAGTAGGTCACTGTACGGCGGTCAATGATAATCTAAATGTACAGTAACCTGTGACCTGAGACAATATAAAGGGTAGCCCTTAAAAGGTCTAATGGTGCCAGCAAAAGGCCTGTCGTTTAAAAACCGTCCTATCTGTGCTAGAGGCTCAAGCACCCTAGCACACCATTTTCGTCGTCTTAGCCTACTTTGAAGGACCACTCCCTCGGAATTAGTCAGAGTATCGGCAGCTGGTCCGCAGTGCAAGTTCTGATTTTTTTGCGCCATCCCAAATCTTCAAGTTTTCTGCCGATGCCATGTGCTTTCTCAGCGACGAGCACGCTCCGAGGGGAAGTGAGAAGTAACTTGAAATATCGTCTTCTAAAGCTGAAATGTAGTCTATCGTTATTGCGCCTTTGCCCTACACAGAATGCGCATGCGCGAATCGCAACATCCGTTGTTATGGAACAGTCGTACTGTAAAATGTTCAATACTCTATATATATTATTTTATAACACGTCTACTCTATTCTTTAAAAAAAATAAAATATTTTTTTCACAACTGTTTGCGATAGTCATTGAACGACATTTGTTTTCTTATTGTGAAATGTATTGGCAAATTTAATGATTTTATGTATTGATGTTTCTAAAAAATTGCTAATAATATTTAAATACCGTGTACATTGACAAAAACAAAATGGTTCGCTTTTGTTTACATACATAAATGCTATATAATTGCCAAACAAAGAATCTAGACAAAATTACTCACCTAATCAAACACCCTTTTTAGAAAAAATTGAAGTGTTACCAGTTATACTTAAAAAAGTCATTTTGGAAACAATTTCTCCTTTCTTTTAAGATATACTATGCTCAAATTTGATATTAGAAAATATTGATAATTGCCATACAGTCTCTTTGTAGATATAGAATAAACATGTTTTGACTTCACACAAAGTTCTGTTTAAAATCCTACACACAATATGAATATATACCAGTAGTTTTCATTAAAAACTGGCAGTTTTTTTTTAAAGAAAGGCCTAAATTTTACTTACCCCGTAATATGGAACGCAGCTCCCCATACATAGCTTAATTAGCGTTTTTATTCAAATCAGACATAATCGGTAAGAATTTATAGATTTCAATAATATGAATTTCTGTGATCAAAATATTTTACTCAAGGATGTGAACATAGTATATATCTTTAAGTGAAAGTTTAATTATTGTAAAATGATACCGAAGTATAGAAAATATTTTTGATTTCGTTGTTTTTGTATATCAACATCAGAGCAAGGAACTTGGGGACACATCGTTTTGCTGACAATGATGCACTGAGGTATTCGTTAAGATCGGTGGAAAAAACATGCTGATTGGATACGTCACATATTCATAGTGACCAATGGGCAGGTCCCTGGATGGCTTAATTTACGAAATTCGAAAGTTACTATAGTAAATCATGAGGTAAAACAACAGTCATTTATGAATTTAGGTAAAAAAATCTCTTTATATATATTTTAAGCAAATTTCTGAATATTTTTTAGAAATATTCTTCAAGAATAAGGCGCAGAGTAATTACAAAGTTTGACAAACGTTATCATTATTTCAGGTTTTTTCTGTCCTTTTTTTTACTTTTATGCTTGCGAAAGTTGTTAAACATGTTCAACACAATGTCATAATGGATGCATCTTTTATTCTTTAAAGGACATATTTGATGATCCCGACGATCTCCCGACGTTTTGCGCACGTTGTATTGAGCACAACATATATAAAATCAATGGACTTTCTGAGGGATTTATATATATGAATGATGACTTTTTATTCGGTCAGAATGTATCACTTGAAGATTTCTATACAGAGGAAACTGGTACAAAGGTGAGAAAAGAATCTAATTGTTTTATTGAATATGATAAAAAAAATCTTACGTTATGAATTTGACAAACCTGTAAAGTAATATGCCAAAAGCTTCGACAATTTCAGAATCGTTTGCCCGTCATCCCTTTTAAATTATTTCACCGAATTTTCAAACATTTTTCTGACCTGTTAAAGTTACAGGTCGGCCAGATTTATTGGAATTTTTGACGGGCACCTTAAGCAGTTATTTCTCCCTCCTATATAAGATATTCAAAACTTATTGTTTACAGCATGACAGAGTCTTGTGCGAACTTTTGATTTAACTAAATCTCTTCAATATTTTCAACCACTTATTATTTCTTTATATATACATATGCTTTTAAAATATTATAAAGGTTGTCTTCTCGACATGGACGGCATCAACAGTTTGCGGTGGGAAATGTACAGCAAGTCTAATTAGGAATGGTGTATGTGACACTACATGTAATTACGACCATTGCGCATGGGACGGAGGTGACTGTGACGAAGTTCCTGAACGACTGAGACCGAAAGATGACGGCACGTCTCATTGTGATTATACAACTTCCATATTCTTTACGAACGCCTTATACAATAGGGCGTTCGGAACAAGAATTCGGAAAGTCCCTGCACATACGCCACTCTTTATTAAAAAAACTGTGTTTCAAGAGTTCGTGAAAAGGTATTTTGTATACAATTTTTGACTTAGTGAACCATTGAATATGATATGATGTTCAACGGCAGATTATTATTATTTTTTTTTTTATGAAATAAAAAGGCAAAAATTAGAAGAAAAACACATAAAAAGTAGTTTTGCCTTTATGAGGAAAAACAAAAGACAACTTTTTGCTTGTTTTCAATAACGCGTGGAGGAAAAGTCGCACTGTAAATAAGATGACGTCAGGCGTTCGACGACTACGCGTCAATCTAACTTTGAATTATTCTCGTATTGGGATAAAACAATAAAGATGAATCTTTTCAGGTTTCCAAATGAAATAAAAGCTACAACAAAGAATAGAATAAGAAGTCCCCTAGATTTTCAGTTTGAATTTTCATATGTGTATTTTCTTATGGAAGGCCAGAGTTCTGCAAGGTTAGTAAATTTTCAATAAAAATGTAAATTGTAACTGTATGAATCAAAATAGTTTCATGCAAGTCTTACATTATGCCTTATTATGTGTAAAATTATATGTCTTATTATGTGTTATATTATATGTCTTATTATGTGTTATATTATATGTCTTCTTATGTGTTACATTATATGTCTTATTATGTGTTATATTATATGTCTTATTATGTGTTATATTATATGTCTTATTATGTGTTATATTATATGTCTTATTATGTGTTATATTATATGCCTTATTATGTGTTATATTATATGCCTTATTATGTGTTATATTATATGTCTTATTATGTGTTATATTATATGTCTTATTATGTGTTATATTATATGTCTTATTATGTGTTATATTATTTGCCTTATTATGTGTTATATTATATGTCTTATTATGTGTTATATTATATGCCTTATTATGTGTTATATTATATGCCTTATTATGTGTTATATTATATGTCTTATTATGTGTTATTTTATATGCCTTATTATGTGTTATATTATATGTCTTATTATGTGTTATTTTACTTATTATGTGTTATATTATATGTCTTATTATGTGTTATATTATATGTCTTATTATGTTTTATATTATATGCCTTATTATGTGTTATATTATATGCCTTATTATGTGTTATATTATATGTCTTATTATGTGTTATATTATATGCCTTATTATGTGTTATATTATATGTCTTATTATGTGTTATTTTATATGCCTTATTATGTGTTATATTATATGTCTTATTATGTGTTACATTACATGTCTTATTATGTGTTATATTATATGCCTTATTATGTGTTATATTATCTGTCTTATTATGTGTTATATTATATGTCGTATTATGTGTTACATGTATATTATGTCTAATTATCGGTAACATTATGTCTTATTATATATTATGTTTTTGATCATATTCATTCCGTGTATGGCTTAATCGACACATGTTTATAGATTTCTATATTTAGCTTGAAATTGGCTATGATATATCAACTGCTTGGTGCGAAAGGAATTTTACTACATCTTTATGTCATATGGGTTACAACCCTTTTGCACTAAACCCGCGATATGTTGCGCCAAGCCAGGCATACGTCTAATTAATAATTTTGAGAAACATGACGTCAAAGTTGGTGATGACGTGTAAAGATGATGGCGTCCGTATTTTAACATGAAAGATTATAAACAAACAAAAACTTGGACACACATATTGTATAATTACGACATATGTCATATATTGAAACATATATACAGGTATTCTGACATAATTAATACAGATTTGAAACGAAATATTTATTGCACTTCTTCGACATAATTAGCGATAATTGATAAAAGAAACCTTTTTTTATTTCGATCTTGAAAGAGCAACTTTTTTTTATTCTAATGAAGTTACAAAACAGTTATTCAATAAGAATTAATGTTCTTTAAACATTAAAATTCAATAAGCTTGGTGACAGCTTGCCATTTTCTAGAAGTTAATCTCATTGTACACAGTTTTGATTAAACAAATGTTCCATTTTAGGTTTAAGGCATTTTATTCAAGTTCGTTGTATTCATTCATTATGCTTTTTGCGAACGGAGATCAAACACGGAAGGACTTGGACATGCTCCGAAAAACGAAAAAGTAATTACTTTCTTTTACCATATTTACTTATACGTACACCTACTGAATATAAATATTGCTTTGTATACTAGTAATTATTATGCTTCATTAGAAAGAAAACGTATACTTGAACACCTCTAGATATATTGTCTATTTTATTAAAGTATTAAGATCACTATATATGCTCTTGTATCACAAAAAGCATTATATTTTATGTATGTATGCCATTTGTTGATCCTGGGCCGTTGGCCATATGTCAATAAACTTTTTGCCAATGTCATTTGCTTAATGGCAAATGTTGTCATCAACGGTAACAAACATAATAACTACAGCATTTTGCTTTCAATTGCTAGGTTCGCTCAGAAAAGATGTAAACTTCACCCTGAAACTGTAAACAATTTTTTTTCAAAATATGTTTGTGCGGTCGATATATATAACTGTCATTCTGACAAATTTGCTTTTCTTTCAGGAAATTCATTTGCATAAATGACGACATAGACTACAAAAAGACACGTGAGGCACAGACAACTGTTAATTTATTGCACGATTTCTACGAGTCAATGTTTCCAAAACGATCATCATTCGAAATCGTTGAATGAAAAGAAGAGAGGAAAATCAGTTGCTTATGGATTTGTTAACATACATTATGGTTAATGGTTAAACTTATAAAATGTCAATGGCAAATTTATTCTATTGTCAAATATTGTTGTTGTTGTAAAGATTTTAAGAACATGTGTTTTGTCAAGAAAACAAATGAGCCGCAACATGACGAAATCAACGTAATAGGTTTGCGACCAGCATGGATCTGTTCGCTTACAGACCCTATAAAAAGTAGAGAAACTGATAGCGAACAGCATGGGTCCTGATCAGACTGCGCGGATGTGCAGGCTGGTCTGGATCCATGCTGGTCGCAAACGCACTATGTTGGTTTTGTCGTGACACGGCTAAAATGATTTTCAAAATTAGAGAAGATCAAGGTTAAACGATACCGACAGACATATTGTATCCATGTGGTGTTCAACGAGAGAAAATGTAAAAGGACTCAGTCAAGCTATATTTAAGTTATTTTTTTTGGCAATGTTTTTCTTTTCTTTTCCTTTTTTCAGGTCTTGACGAGTGCAGTAAATTACCATTTACTTCAGTTGTAAAAGGGATTTCACTGAGGTTATACATAAAGGGACTGGAGATATTGTTTTCGATATTTGTGTAACATTAATTTTGATGTAGATCTGGACCAATATTTTTTTAGCGAAATTTCAGATAATTCTCTTAACACTAAAGCATTGCAATGCTTTTCACTCAAACTAACTAAATATTGTGGAAAAATCTATTTTCAGATTAATGTCTTTTGCCGTTTTGTCCGTTTTTAAGTACATCTAAAGATCTGTGTAAAAATGATTTTTTTGTGTTAGACTTTTGGATCTCAGTGGAGTTTCTTTAAGAATCACGTGTTGTATATTTTTTGGATTTAATAGGTATCTTATGATTCGCAATTACTTATTTGTACTTATTGCTTTGCCAGCTGTTGCCAGTCGTATTGAAATTGTTTTAATCGAACGGGTTGACAGAACTACAATGAAATTCTTAATATTCCAATCAATCAATGAGTGTGAATTGCATGCAACAGACCGCGGTATAATTAGAGGTTCATTACTTATGTGTGCCCATCGTATAAAATATGTTATGTCATATTATACAATTTTGAAGAGTGAGCCATTGATATTATACCACAATATTATATTACATTATATATAATACAAATTTGTACATGTCTAATTATAATGTTGTACTTTTTGTGATTTTGCCTATTCATATTATTTAAGAAATAATATATCCCAAACTGTGATTTTATTGCTCAATAACATCACTGTTTGGAGTTCGGATGCGGGGAATTATATCACGAGGGCGTAGCCCGAGTGATATAATGATGCGCATCTGAACGACAAACAGTGATGTTATCATGCAATAAAATCACCGATTTGGATATATCATTTCGATTCTAACACGACATCAACAAATAAATGCTGCCGTACATTATAATTAGCTTAATTGCGCCTGATTTGTTTCCGTACTTATTGTCAGCGCGTCACATTTTTATTGGTAACGTCACGTGTATAATGATTACGTCACATGTCTAAATATAGAACGTCAAACAGTGATTTTATAGCATAATTACACACACTTTCGGTTCTTCTATGTTCAATAGGGAAAATGCGGGTCGTGTTAGAATAAACAATTACTGACTAGTGAGCCATTTAATATGATGTGATATTCACTGGCAGAAAGTCATATGATTTTATAAAAAATTAATGTTACTGTTTGGACAAATGAGATTGCAGCTATATTAAGATCATGTAATAAATTTTGATAATTTATTGAAATGTTTCACAATTTATTTTATTTCATGAATTTATACATACATAGCGTATCGTGATTCATAAGAATTTTCATACAAAAAACACTTATCATGTTTCAAGTTCAAAGGTGTTTAGTTTAATGGCAGGTTAATGTTTTGTTGCTACTGGTTCCGATGGTTTGCTCCTATGACCTGAAGTTTAGGGAAACAGGAAGAACTTATCAAGGTGTATCTACGTAAAACGTTAAAGATCTAAGTCAATGCAATTTGTCTCATGACCGGAATTATTTTATTACAGGTCTCAGTGGCATTGACCTTTGACCTATCAAGCTAAAAGTGGATGTGACAGGTGAACTTGTTTATGGTGCATCCACATAATTAAGTTGCTTTTTATGTATTGACTATTACTTCGAAGATATTTTACGCGTGCCCACAACCTCGCTTGTACTTTTTTTGTAATTCATATAAAGAATAACTTTATCACTCTGATTTAAAGAATTCGAAAAACCGTGTTCGGGCTCTCTTATTATACTGACATATTTTACAAGAATTGTACTTAAGCTCTCATTTAGTAAAAAACCAAATTCAATAAAATACATTTATTCTCGGTTTTCATATATATAGAATATATTTGTGTAAGACATTATAGAGATCAAAGAAACCGCGTAGCGCCATAAAATGTAATCAATATTTTGTGAACAACTGTTACATAATTAAATTATAAATTTAAATGATGACATAACTTGTAACAGTACTCATCATAATAACCCACGTGTGTCATGTGTCCGATTATTCAGTGACAATGGTTTTAAGAATTACTTTTGGTTCTGCTGTGTAACAATGCAATTAACACATCGACCAGAAATAATTTGACCGTAAATACGTATAGCAGCAACACTTTCATTCAACAACACAACACACATAAATGATTTAACTCACTAAACTCAGGAAAATCAATCAATAAATTGAATATCAAACTATAACGATGATCGCCAATGCTCACGTCAGTAGCTGATAATAAAGACGTTTACTTTATTGTTTTAATTAATACAAATAATAATTTTGAAATAAGTTCGGCGATAATGTATATAAAAATGGCCTTCTTAGAATCTTCCGAAAATTCACGTACAAATTAAGCATGCACGTTAGAGTGATCTTAAGTTTTTGTAAAGTTTGAAAATATATTTCTTTAGATAAATCGTTAACCGCCTCCGTGGTCGAGGTGTTGGAGTCGATGACTTCTTATCCAGTTACCTCTCTGGCGTGGGTTCGATCAAAGGTAGTTAAGCACGGAGGAAGGTGGTCTAGCACTGGTGTAACTCTCCAGGAACGATGGTTAGGAAACTACCCGCCTATATAACTGAAATACTGTTGGGAAAAGGCGTAAAATGAAACACACACACAAACAAACAAACAAACAGATAAATCGTTTAGTTTAAAGAAAATTCAGAGCGCCGAGTTGAGCGCAGTGGGATCGCAAACATCGTCACAGCATCGCCACAGCATCGCAGTGACATCGCATAGCATGCTCAAAACAAACGCCGTCGGTCGGCGTTCTGAATAGAGCGCTGTGGGATCGCAGTAAGACGCTGTAGCACCCAGTAACATCTCCTACAATGCAACAGGAGCGCCGTGAAAGCGCATAAGGATTACCGAATAGACGCCATAATTATCCACGGGGCTTGTACGAAGATTATGCGGCGTCTCTATCTCGCTTATACTACGTGTGTACGGCGCTTTAACGGAGCTTTATTTTTCTAAAACAATCCTACTGCGACTTTAGAGGCACTCTCACGGCGATCATTGAGCACTCAAGGCGATTCTTCTGCATTCATCTAGCATTGCTGAATACGGTACAGTAGAATCCCTACTTAAGACCACCCTGGAATTAAGACCAACCCTCTATTTAGAACAATTGTTAAAATATCTGACTTTTATGTTAATTGTAACATAATCCACAATTAAGACTACTCCACAGTAAACAGTCACAAACATCTTGGCATCCACCTTTCAGACGATTGCTCGTGGCATTGTCACATTAACTATATTACCGAACGAGCCTGGAAGAGGATACACATCATGAGGAAATTGAAGTTTCAGCTTGACCGTAGATCTCTTGAAGTGATATATTTAACTTTCATCCGACCGCTTTTGGAATACGCCGATGTTGTCTATCTAAACTGCACACAATATGAGAAACTTGAGCTTGACAAAATTCAAAATGAAGCGTCTCGTATTGTGTGCGGTGCTACAAAACTTGTATCATTAGACAAACTCCATAGTGAAGTTCCTTGGGAATCCTTAGAATCTCGAAGAACTAATCATATGCTTATCTTACTTTATAAAATGAAAAATGGCTTAACACCAGATTACTTGTGTTCTTTACTTCCACCTACTGTAGGCGAAAATTCAAGATACGATCTACGCAATGCTACAAATATTCAGACTATTCGAACACGAACTACTCTTTATCAAAATGCTTTTCTTCCAACTACTCTGAATAAATGGAACGCCCTTCCAACTGAAGTGCAAAATTTACGTTCACTGTTTGCTTTCAAATCCCATTTAAGAAGAAGCAGCTCTAGTTGTCCGATTTATTTCTATGAAGGCGATAGAAAATGGCAGATCTTTCATGCTCGACTTCGTACTGAATGTAGTTCACTAAATCAGCATTTATTTAAGAAAAATATTTCTCCATCTCCACTTTGTCAGTGTGGCATAGTGGAAAGTAATTACCACTTTTTCTTTGAATGTCACCGCTATGCTGACAGCAGGGCCTCTTTTCTTAACACTATATCTACTATTTGTTCAGCAACTCTCCAAAAGTTATTAAATGGAGACCCAAACATTAGTGATGATGCAAACAGAAGACTGTTTGAAGCCGTTCATACATACATCCGAGAAAGCAGGAGATTCTCTTAAGCATATTCACATCAGCTCAAATCAATAAATACTTCCCATCTAAATCGCCGAACTATCCGAATGATCCACATTTAATTTATTTCTTCTTATTTCTATTTTGCTGAAAGTTTCTTACTTTCATTTCTTTCTATCTTAATTTACGTTATTTCTCTTTAATTTTATATAACAAATGATGCAGTCTTGTATTCTCATTCATTTTTTTGTATTAATTTTTGCTTTACATTATAACTAAATGTTAGAAACAATTTTGACTTTAACTTCTTAAAAACAATGTAAAATCAGATCTATTTCAAGCAAGTCACATATACTGTCATACCGTATTTTATGCATTGTAAATCTATAAGGAGAAGGCCTTTATAAGCTCAGCTTTCGGACCCAATCCTTTTTCAGCATATTATGTTTGTATTGTGTACATTATTGTCTGTATATATATTGTGAATTTGTTCGAAATAAACTATGTTTAAACTAATGTGACAGGGCCTTTATCCACGGCGCTTATACAGAGATGATGCGGCGTCTCTACCGCGCTTTTACTGTGTGTGCATGGCGTTTTTACGGATCTTTTCGATTTCAGCGCAGTCTGAGCGCCGCAAGAGCGCCATAAAAGCGCAAAACTCAAGGAACGCTGTATAATCGCATTCCGAACGCAGATAATTGCCAATTAAAACGCCGTGAAAGCTCCGTAGCATCACTATGATCGCCGTGAGGACGCCGTGAAGTCTCCGTGACATCAAAAATATCACTTTTTTATTGTGATCTCGTGACGCTTTGTTTAATTTTGTAACGCCGGGCAAGCGCAATGAAAGCGCAGTCTATTGTGACATGGCCTAAAATAAATAAAGCGGAGATTCGTTTATCAACCGCTGCACTAGAGCGTAATAAAGCCATTCATCACATACCCGTGCCGATTTTGTGACTCCATAAATATGGTATTGCACGGCCGTGCATATATTTTGACGAGACGTCATTTACGTTACACAAACATTGTGTAAAGACGCGCTAAATATTAGCGTTACACTATAGGCACCGTGGGTAAGCAACTTTGGTCACGTGACCACAAAAGTCAACGTACACGGCCAAATAGCTCGGCTGAGGTAAGTTTTTTAGTGATTATTTTTCTATCGAGCCAATTCAAATTATGCTACATAGCCTACCGACCGCGGCAGTTCCGATGTTTTCTAAAAATGAACTTTGTGTTGTCCAACGTTTTGTATTTTATTAGATCATTCAAACAATGTTTACAATTTGTCGATGACAACGTACACACTATTATGAAAAAGTGTTGATAATAACTTAAAACGATACGCATGTCAGTTTTAAGTAAAAATTTAGGTCTTAAAATATATAAGACAATGTTTTAATGAAAAAAGAACTGATTTCCTGCTGTCATTTTTTGTATTTATTTAAAAATTGACCAACTTACAGAAATGTCAACAAGCACACAGATTGAACTCGTATCATTGCAATTTAAAAGTATCTACATTGGAGTCGTATGAACAATCATTCTGTCCTTTTATTTAATAGCTTAATTAATTATTCTACATTCCATAGATGGCATTAGGTAGGAATGTCGAAATAGCAAACATTATTCGGTACATCTACATGTTTTTTAGGTTTTACCTGGCACAAACACAGTATAGGTCATATGGCGAATTTCCAGATTTACTAGCGGAGGAAGACCTCGGGCACCTGAGTAGAACAACTGACGTTCCGTAAGCTAGCTCCGAAGACGATTGTACAAATCGAACCTACAGCGGCGGTCATAGGCAAGTGGTTTTAAGTCAACGACCTTGACCCCTGATGTACGGACATACCTAACAGGCACCGGAAATCTGAACATAAATTAGAGCCACAGACAACTGGTAGACATTTATGCAAATAAATACACATTCTATATGGAAACAATACTTGACTAGAGTATAAACGAATCTTTAAGATTTATTTTTGGCGAACCCTCGCTGTTGTAACAAAAATAAATAAAATTCATATTATCAATGAAACATAAAAAATAAGAACTTTGTTAGTAAACAAAACATGGAAACTAATAAATCGATAACTATGGCAT